TATATAATAAATGATATATTGGATATATTTCATGAAATTTTATGTAACTGGCACTCCGGTTGAATGTATAAAAATTGCAGAAGCAGTATGTAAATGGCCAATTAAATTCCATTGAAACATGAAATAGACACAATTTATTTTTATATAATGACATGCCAAGCGAGGGGATGCAAACAACTTTATTAAGAATGATAATTAGATTTTCATATTCCAGGTGACCGGCCATGTAAAGGGCCAATCTCAATTATATTTTGGAGAATAAAACTGCTTAATTTTGTGTTAAAAGCCCTTAAAATCCCCTACCTTTGGCCGAGCAACTAACTCAATATATGTGATACGTTTTCAAAGAACTTAAAACTGTCAGTCTTCATCTGGGAACGAGACTGGTGTCCCATGCAGTATTATACGGTGTCTAGATAAAACCAGACTTTTATTTTATAAAAATAATGTGTAGGTGAAATGTACCTTTCTTTATCAAGTACAGCACGTGGGTCATGCATGCACTGTATAGATCTCTAAAGGAACAGCAATAGAATATCAGGTCACCCAAAGAAAAAATTGATTCAAACCCTTAAAAGGGTTACATATCCGGATAAGCGGTTTTGACATCAACGTCAAAACGACTCAATATTGCGAACTGAAATTTTGAGAGAAGGTAAATACACCATTCCTTGAATTTCTTACGTACACGTTTGTATCAAAGACTCTGTTAATAGTATTAAAATCTGGGATGTTCCCTTGAAATAGAAATATTGCAAGTTTACACAACATTGACAAATAATGATAAATTCGGATGTTAATCCAAGAGAATTTTCTATTGTAGTGAAGACAATTACACCTCCTCACCTCCCCATTGTGAACTTAACTAGGTCGCTTGTGGAAAATGTGATGGATAACAACTACTGAAATTCACGGTCCCAATACTAAAAAATTCTACAATACAAAAAATTTCATACTTTAATTTACTTTGTGAACTCAACTAGGTCGCTTCTGGGAAATGTGACGGATAACAACTACTGAAATTCACTGTCCCAATACTAAAAAATTCTACAATACAAAACATGTGACGGATAACAACCACTGAAATTGAGTGTCCCAATACTAAACATTTATACAATACCAAAGATTTCTTACTCTAATTTACTTGGATGTCTTTTTATACAGACCCACTTTTTCTCCCTGCTTACACCATACTCATGATCCCTTTGAACCCCAGGTTTGGAAACACGGTTCTGGTCCCGTTTGTCAATGATAAACAAAAACTCTTTAACCAATGATTATATGAATCAGTGATTTAAATGTCTGATTTACAATCAAATTTTAAAACTTAATTTTAATCGTTGACGAAGAGAAATTCTAGTCTTTGATTAGCTAATCTGACTTTTGAGAATGCCAAACTTAGTCAACTATTAATCTCTAATGAGCCAGTTCCTGATTAGACCTAATCACAGATTATTTTAGACACAGTTTGAAAATATGGGCCTAAGTTGCTTAAATATAGGGATTTAGTGAAGTGGAACAAATTTATATAATGTTTAAATAGGCACACCATGGGATTAAAGTCATAAACACTTAACCTCAAAATATAATATTAAATATAAAAGAATATAAATTAGTCAAGTTATTTCTTTAAAATATACATTCACTGCAAGTGGAAATGAATAATAGCACCATAAAAATCTGGATAAAACGTGAAAATAGCTCAACAATTTTATGTAACCAACTGGTTACGCAATGGACATTTGGCGCAACCAAAGAAAATGTTTACGCAGGAAAAAAAACCTGCAGCCATAATTTTTCTGGTTACACCAAAATTTGAAATTTCATGGCCTGTTATACGATTTAAAAAAACGTGGGAATGTATCACCGTTACACCATAGTGATGGTTGAGTTCAAATTCTGTGAAAATCGGACCAAAACTGACGGACAAAATGGCCACCCCTTGTATAACGCAAATGGTGTAAATATGTTGTATATCAAGGTTGTGGACCCTCTAGAGGCCACAATTTTTGTCCGATTATGATGCAACCTTAAATTTATGCTTATATCACAAAGATCTTGGTCCTTTCGATATTGGCGCATATCGGATCGTAGCTTCCTGAATTATGGCCCTTGATTGTATGAAAAATCTCGTTTTAAGCTTGTGGTCCCTCTAGCGGTAACAATTTTAATCCAATTTAAAAAAACATTTGAATATATCACCGTTACACTTGAATGATGGTTGAATTCGAATTTCATGAAAATCAGACGAAAACTGACAGACAAAATGGCCGTCCCTCTACGCAAATAGTGTAAACATCTGGTATATCAAGGTTGTGGACCCTCTAGAGGTCACAACTTTGATCTGATTTTAATGAAACTTGAACTGCATGTTTTTAACCCAAAGATCTTGGTTCCTGTCAATATTCACACATATCTGATCTTACCTTCCTGAAATATGGCCCTTGATGTTAGGAAAAATAGCTTTTTGTTTAGTTTGTTCTCTATCGATCTCTTGCAAAATGTGGGCGTATCCTGCCTGGCAGCCGCTGGTTTTGTTATAGTCCAGGGTCCAAGTAGAATGATGTTTAGTAAACCTGTTATTGTTGTTATATTCCAGGGTCCAAGTAGAATGATGTTTAGTAAACCTGTTATTGGAGCTATAAGTGGTTATGCTGTAGCAGGTGGAATGGAACTAGCTCTGTTATGTGATCTAAGAGTTGTAGAAGAATCAGCTATTATGGGGATATTCTGCAGAAGATTTGGTTAGTACTCTAGGATTTGCTAACTTCTTTGCACTGGCAATGTTGGAGTAGCTGACTACAGGTCCGAGGTGCTTATATAGCATTCCTTGATAGTGTATGTGAGCTCAGAATTTTCATACTAGCATTGCTATGCTTGGCAGAGGTGAGACTCCCTTGAAACCAAAGGTATTCAATGACTCCTGTAACTTCAGTAGCCCAGATCTGCCAATGCACTGTGAAACACAAGTAAAACGCTAAGACTAAACCCTTTGTGAGTCAGCAGTAATTGGATTGATGAGACTTTAAAACTCCTATTCCTTAGAATTTAAACAGAATTTCCCTTGTTTATGCAATATATATTATGACTATATCTCTAATACAGGGATTGAGCAGCCCTGTGATTTTCTATTAAAATACATCACTTAAAAAAAAATTATTTCATTTCCATGTTATAAAAGCTTATAGGAGGACAAAACTCTTGGTAAAAAACTGCTGCTTCTGTTTTCTCCCAATAAACATATTTTAATCAGTCTTTGGAATGATATGATTTTTATCCAAACATTTTGATGTATATATCCTTTGGTGACGGTAATTTAATGGCCCAATATATATGATTTTTTTTATCTAATCTTCGATTGAAGGAGTACCCCTGGTAGATGGAGGGACAGTACGTCTGCCTGCGCTGATCGGTTTATCTCGAGCTTTAGATCTTATTCTAACAGGGCGACCAATCAACGCTAAGGAGGCTTTACAGTTTGGATTGGCAAATCGTGTTGTTCCAGATGGCACTGGTAAGGTTAGATAACTGCTTATTTTGGGTGTATTTGTATGACATACAACTTTTATTTTTGTTATCATATATTTTCTCATTACATATACATACCAAGATTAAAGTTTCATTTTTGAATGGTGGTCTAACTCACCTAATTATTAAAAACCCAAGGTTTTTTTTACATTAGAGTTCTTTAAACCCTAGCATTGCACAGGTGACTGTGATAAATAAAATATCATGTTGACTTGATGTAGAAAAATAAAAGGATTGTTTGTATGTTTATTTTTAGGACTGAGCAACGCTATAGAACTAGCAAATGAAATTGCAGCCTTTCCACAGAGATGTATGAAAGCTGATCGTAGGTCTGCATACAACTCAACATTTGATGCTGAAACAATGATGGATGGTCTACAGTATGAGTTTGTTAATGGGATGAAAGTAGTTCAAGATGAAGCCGTTCCAGGTAGGCCTCATTTTCTCAAAATAACATTTATTTGACATCCAGCCATGTATTGTATTTTCTTGAAATGTCTGTACCCTCACGTTGAACATATCCTTATCAATATCGTCCCTCGCCCTTTCTTGTCTCTACTTTTGAAGGAAATAAAACCTTTTTTTATACGCCAACATTTTCATGTGGAGGTATATTGTTACCTTCGTCCGTCCGACCGTTATTTGCATTTGTTTGTGGACACTCTACAGGTCACATTGTTAACCTAATTTTGCCGAAACTTGAAATATAGGTTTATGTCTCAAAGATCTCAGTTCCTGTCTATATTGGCATGTATTGGACTTTAACTTCATAGATTATGGCCCCTGATTGTACAAAAAATCATGTTTTTAGCTTGTGAACACCTGTTATCCGATTTTGATGAAACTTAAGATATGTTTATATCCCAAAGATCTTGGTTTCTTTTGATATTCAGGCATATTGGACTGTAACTTCCTGGATTATGGCCCCTGATTGTAAGAAAAATCACGTTTTTAGCTTGTGCACCTTCTAGAAGTTTCAATTTTTATCCGATTTTGATGGAACTTAAAATATTTTTTTATATCCCAAAGATCTTGGTTTCTTTTGATATTGTCGCTTGTCGGACGGTAACAACATGGATTGTTCTCTGTCCATTTCTTGCAAAATGTGGACGTATCTTGCATGGCAACCGCTTGTTAATTTAGGTGAAAATAGAATATTGAATTGGGTTCATCTGATTTGGTACTTTCTATGAGTAATTGGACAGGCTCTACCAATAAATTTTATGTTTTAAAATATATTCCGATGTCAGCTTGTTTACTATTTTATATGTTTTGTTTAAAACAAATCAATACATCAAATTTGATTAAATCAGCACTTTTATTTTTTACCCAAATCAAAGAGGTCTAGTCATTGTAAATTCATAGTGTTATGTTCTGAATAGATTCTATTTGTTTTTAGGTGCCCAAAGATTTAAAGATGGAGTTGGAAGACATGGAAGCTTCACTAAGAAATAGAAATAATCCCCCCAATAGTATACTATTCAAAAAAAGTAGGGGATATTTGATTTTGGGGGCATAATACTAAAATATGCAAATGACTACGAAAAAAGTCACTATAGAACCTAACAGAAGAAACATTTCCAGTTACATGTGACGCCCAAACGCACCAATAGCTACCGCATGGAATGCAGGTGATGCTTGGGATCATCATGGGGGTCCAACCCAAGATTTGCACGACTCTGACTTTGAATGTTACAGTCATTGTGGCATTGAATTCCAGGGGGAAACATCAGTTTAATTGTTTTAGTGACCAGAAAACAAATTTTGATATGCGTCGGCTTACCAAAAATGAAAGGTTACGTGCCCTTGGCATGCTACAGATCGGCACAACACAGGCGGTTGTGGCGCAGACGATGAATGTTTCTCAGTCTGTCATAAGCAGGCTATGGTCCAGATACCGTGATACACAATCTGTACAGGACAGACCACGCTCAGGTCGACCAAGGGCGACAACTCAAGCCCAGGATCGATTTATCCGTACCTTGGCCTTGAGAAATCGTGTCATCACAGCAAATCAGATCAGCGCTCGTCTTCAAACAGACACTGGTGTGAGAGTGAGTGGCCAGACGATTCGGAATCGACTGCATAGGGGTCACCTTCGCGCCCGACGTCCTCGCGTGATCCCTTGTTTGAGAGATCATCACATTCAGGCAAGACGTCGTTGGTGTAGGGATCGTCAACACTGGGATAATCGACGCTGGAGCAATGTGATGTTTTCAGATGAGTCAAGGTTCACTGTTAATTTTTTGGACAGACGTAGGAGGGTGTGGCGTCGTCGAAACGAGCGCTTCCAAGACGTTAACGTCATCAGACATGATCGATTTGGGGGTGGTTCTGTTATGGTGTGGGGAGGCATCACTGTTGCTGGAAGAACGGCTTTACATGTTGTTGCAGGGCGTGTTACAGGCCAGTACTACCAGGACAACATCTTGGCAGTCCATGTTGTGCCGTTCGCACGACGTCATGGCCGCCGTTTCATCTTCCAGGATGACAACGCAAGATGTCACAGGGCCAGGATCGTTACAGGTTACCTCCAACAACAGAACATCACCACATTACCTTGGCCAGCACTGAGTCCCGACCTCTCCCCCATCGAGCATGTCTGGGATATGCTTGGACAGAGGTTACGTCAACGTCAACAACGTCCTGCCAATGTCCAAGAACTTGCTGCTGCGTTGCAACAGGAATGGGACAATCTGGACCAAAATGACCTCAGACGTCTCATTAGGAGTATGCCACGTCGGATCAATGCTTGTTTGGCAAACAGAGGAGGATTTACCCTTTACTGACTTGGTTGTGATGCTGTGGTAACTTTGCTGTTTGACCCCGGGTATCATTTTACCCTTATAATGGTCAGTCTGTGCCTTACTTAGTCTAACGATCATTTGGAATAAATCGATGAATGTGAACTTCATTTCATTTTGTCATTTGTTTCTTCGTCAGTTTCATTAGGTGACTTTAATAACACTTAAAAATCAAATATCCCCTACTTTTTTTGAATAGTATATTTTATCTTACAATTATTCTTATTGGTCAGACCCAATGATCTTCAGTGGTACAATTCTTCGTATTTGTCTGACCCAATGAGCCTTACAAGTCTTCTTAATGGTGAAAAATAACCCAATGATCTTCAGTGATAAAGTCTATTTAATGATGAAAAAAACTGTGATGTTCTTCAAGTTCACAATTCTTGTCATCGGTAAGAATTAAAATCTTCCAATTATTGAGAAGAAAACCAATGGTACAAGTCTTCCAACAATTCCTTGAATATTCCTTGATATGGTAATACTTTCACATGGAAAACTAATATTTATTTTTACAACGCTAACAGTACAGCGGCTCTGTAAGGCCAGCAAATGAAATTTGTGATTGGCTGGTTCGTACAGCTCTGATCTAATTATGGTTAGAGAATATTAATCTTGATATGTCAGGTCACAATATTGCTAATCGAAATTTAACTTGTGCTCACAAATCAAAATATATTGGAAGTGTATTCAAAGCTTTTTGCTTGTCAAGCAGCCACAGGATTTCTTTCTTTACCTTTTGATTAATCTATGTATGTTATAATTTGAAATAGCCAAAGTTAAATACAATTTTATGATCTGGAAAAATGTTAGTTTCGAGAAATCCAGACCAAATTTTCTGCAATATTAATCTGGAAAAAAAAAAGGGGACCAACAGTGTTAACTGGCTCCACTCGTCTTAAAGAGCACATTAAATGACCAATATAAATAGTATGTACTTTAGGCTAGTGTTACTATACAATTTATTACAATTTAATTCAAATCCATTCATAATCAAATGAGACATCTTCTTTCAAAGTCACAAATATGGAACTGCCCTGAAACCAATTATGCCAATTATCTAAAACACTCAAATTTGTTATATATGAAATTGGCGAGACAGCGCAGTATTCCATGTAAAACGAGTGGTTTAACTTTAGTTCATATTTAGAATTTGTCATGAATATGCCATAAATCTGCCCTTTCTGAGTTAGTCCCCTAAACATAGTTTTAGGGGGTTGTAAATCATTAACACCGATGTGCAAAGGATTATTGTTGATCACTGTCTGCAACTGTGCCCTCCAACAAGTACACATTATAGTAGACTCTTTATAAAATGGGTGTAATCAATCACTGAACCCCAGCTTGTAACTAGAAAATTGAATAATTAATTCAAAGCTGTGCTATAACTGAAACTATTGTAGGAATTATAATGATGATTTTGTTAAAACTTTGTATCATGTAAATCTTTTTATTAAAAGTTTACTTGTGAGACAGTGCAAACTAAATGCATACAAAGCTTCACGAGAGACAGATATTATAAACCCTCTGATAATCTCTCTGGTGCATGTGCAAAATGTGCCACATTGGATGATTAGAAGTGGTGCATTGCATCCTTTATTTTTAGCAAATGTTATCTTCTTTTACTTTAATTTGTTTTCAGTTAAAAATATGCTTAAACATACATTATGCAAGAGATAAATCTGCCTATTGTAGGTCTTTCTTTAGGCCTGAAATGTTATATAAACTATTAATTAGACATTAATTAACGTATCCAGACCATAATCAACTCTTGATGTCAACGCTAGCCTGCGATAATTGTTGGATTATGATCCAATTTGCTGTATAACTTTCCTTCTCGATTTAACGATTAAGTAGATAATCGAGACTATGATTTTTGTCGTACTGACTGTAGTAATGATGACCGAGGTTATGCCAAACTTTCGATCGCTTATTCCTCGGTTTATAGTGGATCAATTTGACTGAAATTCTCAGCAAATTGCCTTTACATTATCTAGTTTTTAACTATTATAGTGAGAACTGCCAATTCGTTATCTAATCTCCCATAATGTATCTTTAATGAATCAAATTAGGAAACCTTTGAATTGCGTCCTACCAAATATAGTATTGAATGGGTTGATCAGTATTCTACTTCCACATTTATTGAATGATGCTTGTCACAATTTGCTCTAATAAAGTTAATTTGCACAAAAATCAATTGTATCTCAAAATTGACCCTGTGGACCAAATATTTTACATGTAAACAGGTACTGATTTCACAAAACAAAGAAACTAGTAATTAAAAAAATTTAATTTCAAATTTAACTTTGATTTTTTTTACCTATTTCCAGAGATCGCATAAAAAAGTTCTAAACATCCAACATATTTTGATTGTTATATTGTATGGAATACAATTACTGTTTATTAGTTTTACTGTTTAACAGTTTTAGTTTAAGAATTGGGTCACCTTCAGGGTTATTGTTGTTTATTTATATCTAAATAAGGTGGCATCATTTTTATAATACAATCATTTGGTTGTTAAATTCAGATTAGAGATATCCAGTGGAATGGTCCCTCTGTAAATAAAAAAAACAGTAATTGTATTACATAGAAATGTATCCTGGGTATTATTGCCTGATCAATTACTAAATTCCATCCAAACAATTTTAATTGATGTTAATGAAATTTGTTATTGTTTTGTTTTGAAATAAAACTGCCAATTACACTATTATATAATATCGTATTTGTTTTTTTATACGCCCACATTTTCATGTGGACGTATTATGCCGTCGCCCCTGTCCGTCCGGGTGTCTGAAATATAGGTGTATCCCCAAAAGATCTCGGCTGCTTTCGATATTGACATGTATCGGATTGAATCTTCATGGATTATGGCCCCTGTTTGTACGAAAAATCACGTTTTTAGCTTGTGGACCCTATAGAGGTCACAATTTTGATCCGATTTTGTTGAAACTGGAAATGTAACTTTATAACCCAAAGATCTCAGTTCCTTTCAATATTCGCGCATATCGGACAGTAACTTCCTGAATTATGGCCCCTGATTGTACGAAAAATCACGTTTTTAGCTTGTGGACCCTATAGAAGTCATAATTTTTATCCGATTTAATAAAACGTTCTATTATATCACCGAATTTCGTGAAAATCGGCCCAAAATTGACAGACAAAATGGCCGCCGTTCGTTCACAAATAGCGTAAGAATATGGTATATCAAGGTTGTGGACCCTATAGGGGTCACAATTTTTATCCGATTTTGTTGAAACTTGAAATATAAGTTTATAAAGATCTTGGTTCCTTTCGATATTCGCACATATCGGACTGTAACTTCCTGAATTATGGCCCCTGATTGTACAAAAAATTGCGTTTTTAGCTTGTGGATCCTATAGAGGTCATAATTTTTATCCGATTTAAAAAAACGTATTATTATATCACCGTTACACACTGAGGACGACTGAGTTCGAATTTCGTGAAAATCGGCCCAAAATTGACAGACAAATTGGCTGCCGTTCATTCAGTTCCTTTCGATATTTGCGCATATCGAATTGTAATTTCCTGAATTATGGCCCTTGATTGTAGGAAAAATCACTTTCTTGTTAGCTTGTTCTCTATCCATCTCTCGAAAATGTGGGCGTATCCTGGCTGGCAGCCGCTGGTTTTATTTTGGTGTGGAGAGGAGGGGGGCGGGTATAACTGTTCATGGCACAACCCTGTATTTTTATACGCCCACATTTTCATGTGGACGTATTATGCCGTCGCCCCTGTCCGTCCGTCCGTCCACAATTGTTTGTGGACTCTCTACAGGTCACAATTCTTATCCGATTTTGACGAAACTTGAAATATAGGTTTATCCCCAAAAGATCTTGGCTGCTTTCGATATTGACATGTATTATGCCGTCGCCCCTATCCGTCCGTCCGTCCACAATTGTTTGTGGACTCTCTACAGGTCACAATTCTTATCCGATTTTGACGAAACTTGATTTTTTGGACAGACGTAGGAGGGTGTGGCGTCGTCGAAACGAGCGCTTCCAAGACGTTAACGTCATCAGACATGATCGATTTGGGGGTGGTTCTGTTATGGTGTGGGGAGGCATCACTGTTGCTGGAAGAACGGCTTTACATGTTGTTGCAGGGCATGTTACAGGCCAGTACTACCGGGACAACATCTTGGCAGTCCATCTTGTGCCGTTCGCACGACGTCATGGCTGCCGTTTCATCTTCCAGGATGACAACGCAAGATGTCACAGGGCCAGGATCGTTACAGGTTACTCCAACAACAGAACATCACCACATTACCTTGGCCAGCACTGAGTCCCGACCTCTCCCCCATCGAGCATGTCTGGGACATGCTTGGACAGAGGTTACGTCAACGTCAACAACGTCCTGCCAATGTCCAAGAACTTGCTGCTGCGTTGCAACAGGAATGGGACAATCTGGACCAAAATGACCTTAGACGTCTCATTAGGAGTATGCCACGTCGGATCAATGCTTGTTTGGCAAACAGAGGAGGATTTACCCGTTACTGACTTGGTTGTGATGCTGTGGTAACTTTGCTGTTTGACCCCGGGTATCATTTTACCCTTATAATGGTCAGTCTGTGCCTTACTTAGTCTAACGATCATTTGGAATAAATCGATGAATGTGAACTTCATTTCATTTTGTCATTTGTTTCTTCGTCAGTTTCATTAGGTGACTTTAATAACACTTAAAAATCAAATATCCCCTACTTTTTTTGAATAGTATATATTCCGATGTCAGCTTGTTTACTATTTTATATGTTTAGTTTAAAACAAATCAATACATCAAATTTGATTAAATCAGCACTTTTATTTTTTACCCAAATCAAAGAGGTCTAGTCATTGTAAATTCATAGTGTTATGTTCTGAATAGATTCTGTTTGTTTTTAGGTGCCCAAAGATTTAAAGATGGAGTTGGAAGACATGGAAGCTTTACTAAGAAATAGAAATAATCCCCCCAATAGTATTTTATCTTACAATTATTCTTATTGGTCAGACCCAATGATCTTCAGTGGTACAATTCTTCGTATTTGTCTGACCCAATGAGCCTTACAAGTCTTCTTAATGGTGAAAAATAACCCAATGATCTTCAGTGATAAAGTCTTTTTAATGATGAAAAAAACTGTGATGATCTTCAAGTTCACAATTCTTTTCATCGGTAAGAATTAAAATCTTCCAATTATTGAGAAGAAAACCAATGGTACAAGTCTTCCAACAATTCCTTGAATATTCCTTGATATGGTAATACTTTCACATGGAAAACTAATATTTATTTTTACAACGCTAACAGTACAGCGGCTCTGTAAGGCCAGCAAATGAAATTTGTGATTGGCTGGTTCTACAGCTCTGATCTAATTATGGTTAGAGAATATTAATCTTGTTATGTCAGGTCACAATGTTGCTAATCGAAATTTAACTTGTGCTCACAAATCAAAATATATTGGAAGTGTATTCAAAGCTTTTTGCTTGTCAAGCAGCCACAGGATTTCTTTCTTTGCCTTTTGATTAATCTATGTATGTTATAATTTGAAATAGCCAAAGTTAAATACAATTTTATGATCTGGAAAAATGTTAGTTTCGAGAACTCCAGACCAAATTGTCTGCAATATTAATCTGGAAAAAAAAAGGGGACCAACAGTGCTAACTGACTCCACTCGTCTTAAAGAGCACATTAAATGACCAATATAAATAGTATGTACTTTAGGCTAGTGTTACTATACAATTTATTACAATTTAATTCAAATCCATTCATAATCAAATGAGACATCTTCTTCCAAAGTCACAAATATGGAACTGCCCTGAAACCAATTATGCCAATTATCTAAAACACTCAAATTTGTTATATATGAAATTGGCGAGACAGCGCAGTATTCCATGTAAAACGAGTGGTTTAACTTTAGTTCATATTTAGAATTTGTCATGAATATGCCATAAATCTGCCCTTTCTGAGTTAGTCCCCTACACATAGTTTTAGGGGGTTGTAAATCATTAACACCGATGTGCAAAGGATTATTGTTGATCACTGTCTGCAACTGTGCCCTCCAACAAATACACATTATAGTAGACTCTTTATAAAATGGGTGTTATCAATCACTGAACCCCATCGCTCTATTGTCTTGCCACCTTTCTTGCTTGTAACTAGAAAATTGAATAATTAATTCAAAGCTGTGCTATAACTGAAACTATTGTAGGAATTATAATGATGATTTTGTTAAAACTTTGTATCATGTAAATCTTTTTATTAAAAGTTTACTTGTGAGACAGTGCAAACTAAATGCATACAAAGCTTCACGAGAGACAGATATTATAAACCCTCTGATAATCTCTCTGGTGCATGTGCAAAATGTGCCACATTGGATGATTAGAAGTGGTGCATTGCATCCTTTATTTTTAGCAAATGTTATCTTCTTTTACTTTAATTTGTTTTCAGTTAAAAATATGCTTAAACATACATTATGCAAGAGATAAATCTGCCTATTGTAGGTCTTTCTTTAGGCCTGAAATGTTATATAAACTATTAATTAGACATTAATTAACGTATCCAGACCATAATCAACTCTTGATGTCAACGCTAGCCTGCGATAATTGTTGGATTATGATCCAATTTGCTGTATAACTTTCCTTCTCGATTTAACGATTAAGTAGATAATCGAGACTATGATTTTTGTCGTACTGACTGTAGTAATGATGACTGAGGTTATACCGAACTTTCGATCGCTTATTCCTCGGTTTATAGTGGATCAATTTGACTGAAATTATCAGCAAATTGCCTTTACATTATCTAGTTTTTAACTATTATAGTGAGAACTGCCAACTTGTTATCTAATCTCCCATAATGTATCTTTAATGAATCAAATTAGGAAACCTTTGAATTGCGTCCTACCAAATATAGTATTGAATGGGTTGATCAGTATTCTACTTCCACATTTATTGGATGATGCTTGTCACAATTTGCTCTAATAAAGTTAATTTGCACAAAAATCAATTATATCTCAAAATTGACCCTGTGGACCAAATATTTTACATGTAAACAGGTACTGATTTCACAAAACAAAGAAACTAGTAATTAAAAAAATTTAATTTCAAATTTAACTTTGATTTTTTTTACCTATTTCCAGAGATCGCATAAAAAAGTTCTAAACATCCAACATATTTTGATTGTTATATTGTATGGAATACAATTACTGTTTATTAGTTTTACTGTTTAACAGTTTTAGTTTAAGAATTGGGTCACCTTCAGGGTTATTGTTGTTTATTTATATGTAAATAAGGTGGTATCATTTTTATAAGACATCATTTCGTTGTTAAATTCAGATTAGAGATATCCAGTGGAATGGTTGCTCTGTTAATAAAAAACCAGTAATTATATTACATAGAAATGTATCCTGAGTATAACCTGATCCATTACTAAATTCCATCCAAACAATTTTAATTGATGTTAATGAAATTTGTTATTGTTTTTGTTTTGAAATAAAGCTGCCAAATGCCAATTAGTTATTAACTATTATATAATATCGTGTGTTTTTTTTTATTTTGGTGTGGGGAGGAGGGGGGGGGGGTATAACTGTTCATGGCACAACCCTGTATTTTTCTAATTTCATGCCATTTTAATATGCATAATAAACGAACATATTGTTAAATGTGAGAGAAAAAAATTACACAATACATTTGTATATTCGACTCTGCCTTGTTTTCTTATTTCCTTGAAAAGATCACACTAGAAACATTTCCAAGGTGTGAACAGTGGTATTTTGTTTAGGGAGAGGGGGGTGGATCATTAGCATTTTTCCATGGGTTAACCATACAGAGGTCCTAACCCGACCCACATTTCATATTCGCCACTGAAATAGGTACGTCTTTGGTTAAACTGTGCTGTGGTTCCCCGTAATGAAATTCGGTATTATTAGTCCGGTGGCTGAAGGGGGTGAATTTATGAGACCAAGATTTTCTCTACCATATATTAATATAAAACAAAAATTTCTAGGACTGTCAATCTCTAAAGAAGTGTATATGATGCCCCTGGACAACTGTTTTGATTTTTGGGGAGGTGGGATGGGGTAGCATGTGTGCGTGTATGGAAGGAGGGGTGGGGTGGGTAGAAATTGGCGGGAAATGAGTTCACGTTGATTTAAATGATGATTTTCTTAGAGCTTGGTAAAAGCATTACTTTTGAATATCGCTGGGGGGCGGGGGGAGACCATGTAATTTTGGGGACATAAACCACTTGGCTCTAAATTGACCTGAAAAGTGTTTTCTCGTTAGCTTTTTTGTTCAATCTGATTAAAACAGAGATGCTATATATCGTTCCGTTTTCTATAGTTCAAAATTTCGTTTTACTTGTCTTCACAACACTAGGATCTGGAAGAGTTGTTATAAAACAGGCAGTCTAGTTGATGTGAGGTATTAGCCAATGAAACGGTCTGTTAAGGCGAGTTCTTGGCGTGCTCTGCACGGAACTGTGGGTAAACCCCTAGAAACGTCAACGCTGATTGATTAATCAATGTCTGACGTCATAGGTAAAAAGCCGCTCGTATGACCCCTGACACGACCTCCCAGTACAACTTTTCAGATCTTCATGTAGTGTAGGCCATCGAAAGTATAAATAAAACGAAACGAAATATACATCTGTATTTTAATCAGATTGCTTTTTCGTTCAGTACCAATTTCGTCATTCCGAATAATAATATTAAATTATAATGGTACTTTTCAAGGGGTCTGGAAATGTACATACCCCCCCCCCCCCCCCACAGTAAATTCGATACATGTTTAGATATTAGTTTATTAGTTTATTCTTAGTCTTCATCAGAAGATTCAAAATCAAAGTTCATAACATGAGCTTGATAGATATCTTCTTGATGACTAATCAAAAGCTCGCATTATATCCTTGGAATATGCTTCTGATACCCACTCACATTGAAAATCTTCATTCTAGCCCTGTATTGCAAGATCATTGGTTTTGCAGCCTGTCTCCATATTGTTGCAACATAATTGTTGCGTTTAATGTGCAGCAAAAGATTACTCGGGCAAGATGATAATAAAGAAAGAAAGGTTTGTTATTTTTCATAACAATTAAAATTCCTCCAAAAATCTTTCTTCTAGCGTCATCTACTGATGTAAGTCGCATTTCGCCGAACTAGTCCTGGATCTGACTATGGTTCTGAAGGAAAGTTTGAGTAGTGAGAATTTTTTTGAAGAAATGTTTAAAGGGTGCCGAAGTCAATATTTTGAACTTGGGTGGACACTCACCACGCTGACGTTATCTCAATTGTATCCTACCTGCTCTAGTTTTCTGTCTATTTCTATGAAATAAAGGTCAGAATGAAGCTGTTTGGACTTGGGTGGACACTCACCACGTGGTAGGTTATTTTCTATGACGTCATCAAAGATGACCGCCGACGTTATTTCAATTTTATCCTACTTGCTATAGTTTTCTGTCAATGTCTATAAAATAAAGATCAGAATGAAGCTGTCTGTGCGAACTAAAGTGAAAAGTATATTTATTATTAATCTGTTATCAAATTTTTAACGAAAACTCATACCCAATTCAATGTGGCGGTCTTCAACAAGTTTCTGAGAGCGTTATCTCGTTATCTATGGTGGCTGATTAGTATCATGTCGTGGTGTCGCCCTTCATAAGATGACATCACGACATTTTAACCCGATACTACGACAACCCGAAATCACAACATTTTAACCCGACAATACGACATTTTCACTCGATACCACGACATTGAAAATGTCATATTGCCGGGTTAAAATGTTGTATTGTCGGGTTAAAATGTTGTAATGTCGGGTTGTCGTAGTGTCGGGTGTTCCTCTCAATATGATTATGTTCCCCGGGATTTTGCAGCATGGTTTTTCCATGTCGGTAGTGCAGGACAATATAGCCGATATCACGACAACTCGACACCACAACAATACTATCTTTTGGTTCCCCTGGATTTTGCAGCGCAGTATCTCCATGTCGGTAGGGGGGCCTAATGCAAGACAATATGGTCGATAACCCAACATCACGACAACCCGACACCACGACAACATTTTAACCTGACAATACAACATTTTTACGCGACATTACGACATTTTTAATGTGATGGTGTCGGGTGAAAATGTAGAATTATCGGGTTCGAAATGTCGTGATGTCGGGTTAAAATGTCGTGATGTCGGGTTGTCGCCTTATGAAGGGCGACATCACGACATGATACCAATCAGCCACCATAGTTATCAGTGTGTTAAGTGGTGGGAGAAGAACTCTTTTTTTTTTAAATTCTTCAAACACAAATAGTGATAGAGGCGAAATGTGCTGAAATAACGAATTGGACAAAAAAAAAAACCCTCAAAAATGCCAGCTATTTCGTAAGGTGACTTTTAGCTATAAGGTTTTCGATATCTCTGAGTTTAAAGATGGCAACCAAAATGGAATCTAACATGGCGGATTTTAAGTTAGGCCTAATCGTCATCTATTGCATGTCATCTATATGGTTCCCAGTGTCGCTGGGTTTAATAATTCTTATCTCAAAAATAAAATTTAAGAATTCATGATGGCAGAAATGCAAAATGGCCACCATAATGAAATCCCAAACGTCAGAATTTTAATTAATCGTCATTAATTTTTTTTACTTCCATTAGATATGATTTGTAATATGTCTTATAGCCTATAGGCTAAGGGGTTTGAGTTGCAGAGTTCAATTTATATCCCAAAACTAATTATGAATAGCCCACAGATGGGGTAAATTTAAAACGACAATGAAAATAGTTTCCAATATGGCGATTTTTGTTCTTAACAAAACACAACACAAGGTATATATGGATATAACTACTTCTCTATTATGTGTTTTGTTATGAATAGTTAACCGTGCAACTAGATGTCATTTAAAGAATTGAATTTTGTTCTTTAGGATATTCCTTCAAAAATAAAGTTTTCAGAGTTACTGAATACAATATGGGGTTCAAAAATTAATTTCCGATAAGATTGTCTGTAATTCAATTCACAAGTTCTTGTGATTGCCACAACAATACTGTTTTTCATCAGCAATGGACACTAGACAAAAAATAGGCAGAAAAGCAATTCATCAAAAACGAACATTAACTAGTTTCGGGACCCCTGAAACTACCATACTCCTGTTCAGCTCATCCCTAAAAAGGGAGGGGAAAGATAGGATGTTAAAACGTGTTGCAAATTTCTGCATTACTTATTAATCATCAGTAGAAATACGCAATATAAAATGATAAATCATATATTATTTTACAGGTACAAAATAGAAAAAAAAGGTGTTTCCGTTTTATACAAGAAACAATTTGTTGTCATTTCATGCAGAAAGATATGCTGTTAAAACGTGTTGCAAATTTTTGTATTACATGGTAGGCCTTAAATTATCATATAAATTAACACTTGGTATTTTTATCGAATATTTTACAGCAACAAGAACGTTTCCGTTTATTTGAAAATTCCAATAAACAATTTTTTTTTAGTTCGAGTGGAAAGTGCTACAGATGGTAGATAATATTTAAATGTTGTTTAAATGCGTATTTTCATAAACTTTTTATGCAGATAGATGTTTATATGAAAGGTCCACTTGGATATAAAGTACGATTTTGTGTGAAATAGGCGTCCTGGATACAATGCAACATAGGAGGCTTATGAAATTTTACAGTCTAGTAGTTTATTCATCCCTTGATTTTGTGAAATAAAGAACATTTTGCCACTAAAGCTGGTTTGAATACTGTTTGATGCAGAGTGAACAAACCCCTTTCTGCGTGCCAAGTTTGCGATATTTTAGTATGGTTGAGGCAATAACATGTCTTAAAATGTTTCTATTATAAAGGTAACAATTATTATCGCTTTAGCCTCTTGAGCGTCCACAAGAATTTTCAAAGTGATCAAGGGCCTTCACTCTACCAGTAAATATAACAAGCATGTTTCCACAAGCAATTGTGGACGACGGATGGGGACGACGGCAATATACGACCACATTTCAATATGGGCGTATAAAAATTGTTTGCGTCATTTTGGGGTAATCAGCCCAGTGGTGTGGGGTATGACGCCCGGGTATAGTTTGAGTGTTATTAAAGAATTTCTTATTGTTATAGCATTGCAAATATGTAAAAAAATAATGTTATTTTTTTTTTAACCTTTTCCATGTTTCCACTTCAAAATGTGGTATAATGTGTCTTTTTGAAAATCAATAAAAATTTACCCCCAAAAATATTCTTCAAATAAGTTCACATAAACAGCTTCATTCTGACCTTTATTTCGTAGAAGTGGACAGAAAACTAGAGCAGGTAGGATAAAAATGAGATAACGTCGGCGGCCATATTTGATGACGTCATTGTTGAATAACCTACCACGTGGCGAGTGTCCACCCAAGTTCAAAATACTTACCTCGGCACCCTTTAAACATTTCTTCAAAAAAATTCTCCATACTCAAACTTTCCTACAGAACCATAGTCAGATTCTGGATTATACTTGGTACAAACAATTTTTTCTAAACCAGCAATTACGTCATCAGAAACCTCATTTGTATGTTAGAATATTGGAAAAAGAAAGACAGATAGTC